AAAATTATTCCAATTTTGATGGTAGAAAGTAGAAATTAATTATGGCACTCACTATTAAAAACATAAGTGTAACACCCTTTACTACATGTGTAACCCCCTTTATAACAGTGTCAAAATACTTTGGGCTGCATGTATATTTATGGGCTTCAGTTAACATTGGGGTGGACTGCAGTAACTTTTTATTGTAACCAAGACTTACCAAGTGTGCTGCAATTGTTGTATATGAGGCCTCTACACCTTTTACAGCCAATTTTGTCTCTATAGAACGCAGAGAAATATTGGAGTCTCAGCATATATTCCAACTGATGTGCCATGCAATATTAGGGGGTGATTTTTTTAGGATGACCACCCCTTTCTTGTGATCCAAATTACCAATTTCTTCCAACTTTTTCGAGTTGCTATAGATAGTTCGCATTGGGATCTGTGTTGTTTTGTGGATTTCTTTAACAGTATGAATTCTTATGTTTCAAAAATGTAATATAGTTTCTTGTTGTGTTTTCGGTTTGGATTTAATCATTTTAATAAAAAAAATTTCGATATGTAGTTTTTAAAAAACTTTATATCGATAATAAAAATCAAGAAATATTTTTGACGTTTAAAATAAAAAAAAGATTATCTGATTTGACCTGATTTTGGTAAAGTTATATGAATTCAAATTTTTGCCAATAATTTCTTTACACACTGTATTTGATTGCGGATCTCGATTTAATGGGTCTTTATTAACGGGTTTGAGGATTTAGAACATAAATCGTAATAATAACAGGGGGTTTTTTTTAATTGCAGCTGTTAAACCAAGACTCGGTGTAACCAAATAAAAACGTTTGCCTTTAAATGTTGTTGTTCCTCATATAAAAATCGATTCGTCTATTACTATGAGTATTTTAGACTCGGATAATAAATATCACACTTCAAGTTTCATGCATGCAATCTTCAAAATTAACCAACAAAGAAACATTTCCCTGCGTATATACTGATATTAAGTAAAAGTTGTCCTACGATGCAAAATTGATTTATTATTATTTACATTTGGATAAGAAAAAAATTTATAATTAAGCAAACCATTGGATCTCATGCAGGTGCATTTATTATTGTTGTTACTATTGTTATTAAAAATTATTAGTATGATTAGTATTAGCCGAATATGAAAAAAATAACCCAAATTGACCGAGTGTCCGTCCAATGAAGTGAAACCAGACTTTTTTTTTGTGTTTTGATATGGCTTGGAAATTAAAGAAACCAATGGTTTCTTTTGATATGGTCATGTTTATATTAATGATTGTAGATCATCATATGATGAATCTGTAAATAAAATCAGTCGAAAATATACCATCATCTTTTAGTACATGAAAATTATAGTGCGTTTTTTTAGCCCATTTCCCGTGATCAATTTGGATATGCATAGAAATTGAGTTGTTGCAAAAGAGACTTCAACAATTATTATCTGAAGATTAGTGAATTAATAGTAAAAAAAAATATAGAGCTGTTGATTTAATTGAATAATGTAATAAGCATTAATAACAGTAATTTTAATAATAACTACGAGATTGATAGTACACATTTAAACGAATGGATCTCAGCAAGAATAGGAATTATCTTTGACACTTACCTGTAATAATATTAGTTGGCATTTATTTTTAAAAATTAATTGAATAGTTTTTATTAATTTCTTCTATTTATCTATCCATAAATATATTATTAAAAACGTAATTACGTGTATAATTTTCAAGGTTTTTTTTCATCCTGTGAACAAAAATTATATATTAATATTTCATTTTCATTCATTGCTTACATGTATAGATTAAAACAATTATTATTAAAGTCCAATCAATCGATCAATTAAAATAATTAGATTATATAATATAAAATGTTTGTAGCTAAATAAAAATAAATATTAAAAAAAAAATTAAATTAAAAAAATTAAAATACACATTAGAATTTGAGCTTTACAATAATAATTTTTATATTTTATATATAATATGTATATAAATATAAATAATGAAGAAAAAATAAAGTAAAAAGAATAAATTAATAAAAGTCCCTTATATAAGAATTCCCACGCAAATATACTTAAAAAATACATTCTAGATATAATATAAATATGAATAAATAAATAAATATCTCTATATTGTCTTAATGATACAAATAAAAATTTTAATCTAATGCTGATTTCATTTTAATCAATTATACATTGAGGAAGGAAGTTGTTGATAAATGATCTTCATCTTGAACTTTAGCTAAAGTTGAATTCCTGCATCATTTCAACTGTCATACATATCGTATACACTATATGTATTGTCGCCACGATTTATTTTTTCCTCATCTTCATTATTATTTGCATCTGAATCATTATGATAATCATCCTCATCTTCATCTTCAAGGTAATTATCAAAATCATATGGCATTTCTTCTGAATCGCTTATTTGTTCAGAATTTCTTTGTGATTTCTATATACATATATTAAAAAATTATTATTGTTAATATATCATTGAAAAAATACATGTTGTTTTTATTTATTATTTATATGTATACAACGTACCTTTATACTCACAATACTATTCTTTTTCATGATAGATTTTTCAGGTGCAGAAGTGGTTATAGTTGATGGTAGTTGAGGAGCTGCTTCAGTGATGTCGTCATTAGATTGGAAACGTACTGACTTTTTACGTGCTAAAGTTGGGCCATTTTTCTCTTTGTCATCACCATCACTACTTGATTCTTTTTCTTTTTCTTTTTCTTCCTCTTTTTCTTCTTCTTTTTCTTCTTCTTTATTTGAATCTGATTTTTTTATTTCATTATCATGATTATTTTGTCCATCTTTATTTGCTGGTGCATTGGTATTATCAGACTTTGTGTCTTTATTGGTATTATTGTCCAAATCACTACTATCACTATGTACTTGTTTCTTAGCTACAACAGTAGCCTTCACGTTTTTTACTTTTTCAGCATGTCGTTTCAATGCTTCGATATCAAATAGTGGCAGTGGTGGTGGACCTCTGAAAATTCCAGATGAAGAAGTGTTTGTTGCTGTTGTTGGTTTAGCGAAAGGTCTTGTGGTGGAAGAAATTGGCAATGCTTTAAGACTATTTAGGCCTGAACTACTATTCCTTGCGATGTTCAAATCTGATGAACCAAGTTTAACAAATCCTGTTGGTTGAGATAATTTTGGTTTTATATTTGTAGTTATCTTAGCATTTGATGTTGCAGTTTTATTTGGTTCATTTACATGTTTATGTTCTATTTCAGTTTTAGGTTCAGGCACAATTGATTTTTGTATGCTATTATTGCTATTGTTGTCATCATTGTTGTTGTTGTTGCTATTGTTGCCATTTTGAACTGTAATGGGGATTTCATTATCAATGATTTCAATTTTCATATTTGATTGAGAAGGTGTTACAAAATCAGATATAATAGGGTCAGAAACCAGCTCTTGTTGGTTTTGTTCTTTGTCCATCATTTGTTCATCTTTTTCTTCATCTCCGTATTCGCTTTTTTCTTCATCTTCATGTTCAATTTTTTCTTCATCTTCATGTTCAATTTTTTCTTCATCTTCATGTTCAATTTTTTCTTCATCTTCATGTTCAATTTTTTCTTCATCTTCATATTCACTTTTTTCTTCATCTTCATATTCACTTTTTTCTTCATCTTCATATTCACTTTTTTCTTCATCTTCATATTCACTTTTTTCTTCATCTTCATGTTCACTTTTCTCATCATTTTCATTTTCATCATTAACATTATTATCATTATCTTCCGCTTCTTTCACTGGTTCCTCTATCACTAATTCATAGTCCTCGTCGTCTTCCTCTTTCGCTACTTCTTTTTCTCTAATTGGTGAAGATGGTGTTAGTAGTGGTGATTGAATTCTTGGTGATGGAGGGGGAAGTGGGAATTGATTTGTTGGTAATGGTGACTGTGGTTCTTGTGTAATGTTATTGTTGTTATTGTTATTTTGTTCTGAAATAGGTATTACTTCGACCTTTTCTATTTTCATACTTGATTGTACAGGGGTAACAACGGTTGTTGGAGTGACCAAAGGTTTTATAAATTCAATAGATTTATTAGAGTCTTGATTATTTAAATTTAATGGAGTAGGAATTTTATTTTTATTAGATTTAAATGATTTTGGTGTAGTATTCATCTCATTATTGATGTTAACATTGTTGTTATTCGCTGGTATTTCATGATAATTTTCTTCTTCTATTGAAATTCTAGGAGAAATTGCAGGAGGTGGAGGCAATGATTTGTCTGTGGTGTCGGGGATTTCTATTTTTTCAATTTGAAGAATACTTTGATTTGGTTCAACAAAGTTCATTTGAATATTTTGATTTGAGGAAGGTTTTTCATCAACTTTATTATTACTGTTGTAATTATTGTCGTTGATATTGTTATAATTATTATTATAACTGTTGTTGTTATTATTATAACTGTTATAACCATTATTGTACATATCGCTCATATTAAATATAGGACTAGGAGGAGATAAAGCTTGTGATGGCTTTATTATTGGTGATTCAATATAGTTTGATGTTGATGTTACTATTATAGCAGGGTCAACCTTATTATCATCAAGATCGTCATCTTCATCATCTCCTGTGAACTGAGATAACATTTGTGCTAAATCTTTTAATGGATGAGAATCGGGACGCTCTCCACCGTGACCAATGAGTGGTGAAAAACCAATATTATCACCAATGTCCATGCCACTTGTCATTTTTTCTATTTCTTCATGATCAATAACCACATGTCCTTGATTATTGTCTTCATAATCATCATCATAATCATCATCATCATCATAATCATCATTGTCATCATCATCATCATTCATATTAATATTCCTATCAGTTATTATTGGATTATTAAATAATTTAGGTGATGATGGAATTGAAGATTTGATTGTAGGTGAAGATGATGTTGAATTTATCATTAACATTGGATCAATATTTTGTGTATTCAATTTTAAACTATTGTTTTGATTTTGATTTTGATTATTATTATTTGACATTTGAGTAGTAGGACCTGACATTATTGGTGGTGGTAATGGTACTGGTGCCATATTATTATAATTATTATTTGCGTTGTATGGTGGTTGTGTTGATGGTTGTGCTGATGGTTGTGCTGATGGTGGTGTTGATGGTGGTAGCGGCATTTGTTGTAGTAATTGTGAATTATATGAATCATCATAGTTATTTATGTTATTCATATTATTATTATAATTGGAATTGTCATCTGATAAAGGTATATTGAAATATTGATCATTGTATTGGTTATAATCATTATAATCTATTATTGGGGCTAAAGGTGGTAGTTGTTTATCAATAGTGGTAGTACCTTGGAATGTTTGAGAAGGTCCATTTGATGATGATGGTGGTAATTGAGAAGGGGGCACAACCAAAGTGAAATCTTTGAACTTGTCATCATCGTCACCATTACCAATAGATCTTTCAGAAGCTCCATTGGAACGTTTAGAAGTAAACTTGCGTCTAATAAAAAATCCTATTAAACCTGCGACAACCAAACCTCCCATAACAATGCCGGCCCAACCGGTAGCACTAATATTACTAGTAACAACCCGATTGTTTTCAGAATCAGATAATGATTTATTTTCTAAAGATGTATTGGGAGTTTTTACGGAAACGTTGGAATCAGAAGTTTTAGTTTGAGCTTTTTGTTGTAAATGGGTAGATGATGTCGGTATCGATGTAGTTGGATCAGGAGTGTCAAAAGTAGCAGGAATGACAGGAGTGGAAGGAGTATCAGAAGTAGTAGTAATGACAGGAGTGGCAGGAATGGCAGGAGTGGCAGGAGCTACTGGTTGTAGCGATGTCGTTTTCTTTCCTTCTGGTGCTTTTACAACAGGAGGATTTTTCTTTGGTGCTGGTTTTTTCTTTGGTGCTAGTTTTTTCTTTGGTGTTGGCCTTTTCTTTGGTGTTGGCCTTTTCTTTGGTGTTGGCCTTTTCTTTAGTGTTGGCCTTTTCTTTGGTGTTGGCCTTTTCTTTACTACTGGCTTTTTTGTTGGTTTTTTTACTGCTGGCTTTTCTTGCGTTGGTTCTTTTTTAACTTTTGGTTTTTTAAAAATAAATAACATTTAATTATAATATAACACGGATAGATGCATAGCATCAGCATTGGAATTTTTTTTTTTACCTGTTCGTTTGTTTTCAAGTTGAACATGCTGGCTGTTAATCGGATCCATATTTCTTGTATCTCTTCTCTTGAATTGAATTATTTATTTTGTTTTTTTAAAAAAGTAATGCACAGCATCAAAATATTTACCAAGGATAATTAAAAGAAAAATAAAAAAAACAAAAAATAATAAAAATGATCTATGTAAAATTGTATGTGTGTATAAATATAAAGATAAATATATTATATGTAGGAAAAAAAATGGGTAATATTTGATAGTAAAGAGGATGATGGATGGTGATAGGATGATGATAAGGATAGAAAAAGTATAAAAGAAAAGAGGTGATGATATGAGAGGGGAATGAAAGAAGGAAGGCAAACGAGAAGAGGAGAGTGGAAAAAAAATTTTAAAGAGAATGTGTATGAAAAGAAAAAAGACGTTAAACGTCTATATGACAACAATTTATTTTTTCCCTTTGCAGAAGGAAATCTTTTTAAGAAAACTAATTATGCGAGCATATAAATAGATGCAGTTAATTAATATTAATATCATTGTAACAAAATATATTATTACTATTTGTTTACTTATTAAACATCAATTTTGTTTGTAAAATTAAATTGCAAATCATTTTCCAAATCTGGAGATACTTTTTTTTTGTCAAAAGGCAATTTATTATTTGGTGTAATGGTAAAAGATTTAATTTGTACAACAACAGTAAGAAGATTATTCGTTCTCACTACTAAGGTGATGGCGATTTTTTATTTTTGTGATCTTTAATGACATTTCTTTCGTTGTTAGAATAAGGAGAGAGAGAGAAACTAAATCTTGTCGTTGTAAAAACAACAAAACAACGCTTATTTCTTTTTTTTCTAGAAGAATTTGATAAATTATTTCTAAATAAAGCATCACAAGAATTACAAATAGCCAAGCAAGTAATAAATATGTCGTAGCACGTGACATGTAAGCAGTTGTCCGAACAAATAATATATTCCGTTATTAAACACAAGCATTATTAATATGTGCCGTAAGGTGGTTTCGTCTTATAAGCCTAAACTTTTAGCCTGCAGGACAAACCAGTATGTTTAATTTCGATCAATATTAAGAAGACGGCTTTTTCACAAAAATTGGAATAATGAAAAATTAATTTTATTTAAAAAAACAAAAAAATGTTTAATATTTATTTTAATTAAAGAAAAAATTAGATAAAGGAGAATCTTAATTTACTAATTTTACTGATTTTACTATTACTGATTTTACTAACGAACGGAACATTCAATAATGCACTTATTGAACGCATACTACCATTATCACTATCACTATCACTATCATTATTATTTTTCTTTTCTTTGATTGATTTTTTAATTTTCTCATATGAGCATTTATTAGTTTCCTTTCCAGTTGGTTTGTCTGTAAGATTAGAATCCGAACATTTTTTCATCAAAGAAGAATAAAAAATTGGTGTATCGCTGGTGACACTTGGCTTTTCTCCTCCCAAAGTTTTCATTGTAAAATCAATACGACGATTTAATAGTATTTTATCAGAACCACATTCCAATATTATCACATAAAAGCTACGATGAATACCTGGTTTTATTGTATATAGTATGTAGCATATTATTCCAGATGCCAAATATTGAACACAATAAATTTTATTATCCGATTTATCATCTTTAACCAACTCGTATAATCCTAAATCAGATATTAAACTTTTTTCATCTCTGATTTTATTTGATCTGTTGAAAGTAAAAATTCCATTATTATTATATGGGTGGAATAAAAATATTTTAAAATATTACAAACTTATTTTCTTACCCGTCTGAAATATTTAAAATTGATTTTAATTTCTTTCTCCAAGAAAAATTCTTGAATTTATTTGTATTTGATAAGTAATTATGTAAATCTCCATCTTGTTCATGTTCAAGCACTATCGTATAATTTTTTTCATGATCCAATGTAATTCCGCAGCATTCATTACCATTCTCATTATAAATAGTTATATGTCCTTTTAACTAGTGATTTTTAATAATTTAATTAGTAAACTTTTTTTTGCAAATTTTAAAATTCTTATTTCACAAATTTCTTTTCCTACCTCTTTTATTATCAGTGAAATATCCTGTGATTTATCGATGCTTTTTAATACAACTGTTTTTTTATTACACGACCAATAAGCAGTGTATACTTCACTAAATTCTACTTTGGTTAAATATTTGACATTAGAAAATTCATCATATGAAATCCATTTTATCTTGGTTTTATTCATTTTACATTCATAAAGAAATTCTGCTAATTTTTTATTTTTGCACTTTGACGCTAATTTTTCAATTTCATTAATAATATTAATGGTTATCATTTTTATTGATAAATAAATGCAAACGACAAAAACTTCAACTTTTATAAGTTAAGCAGGAAAATATAAAAAAAAAATTCGACGGAAAAATTATGTGATTATTATTATATTGATAACATTATTCCAAAATAATTTTATTTCCTTTTAATTCCTCACTCAAATACGGAAATTCTGGTCAGACCTGAAATTAGTATTTCCCTTAGTTTTTTTTTTAACTTTCTGAAAAAAAATTTGGTTCCTTTTTTTTGATATATATGCGATAGTAAAATAGGATATTAAAAAAAAAATCGTTAAATTTAATTTTTATATTAATACATTATAACCTCCAAACATTATAAATTATCTTCCGGAAAATTTGGAATTTCCCTTTTTTTTTCCAACCTGCTACGTCTGCAAGGATAAAGGTTTAAGGTGTTCGGAATAAAGATACCTGACGAAATAGTTGACATTTAGTCAGCATAACGAAAATGTATTACCGCCAAAGGCATATTATTAATATTAATATTAATATTTACGAAAAGGAAAATCGGAAAAAAAAAGTTATGAATTAATTAAATTTGGTATATCCAGTACGGATCATCTATACTCAATGGTTAGAAAAATTTGGAAATTATGTGATCCATATTTAAAAAATCCATAATGATAATCATTCAATTTGGCTAAAAGAGTCAATTCATGCAAAAAAATTTATCTTTAAATTTAAATAATGCCCAGAAATGCAATAATAATTTTCGTGCTACAATATTTTGAATTACATGACCAAATTTAGTGAATGATTTTCTTTTGATGTAAATATAAACAATACAATATATGTTGTAAAAAGCATTAGGCGTCCTCAGAAATTAAAATCTGATTAGATTTGGCTTGATTTGATTAGGATTAATAAATAAATTTATCTTCAAAAATTAAATATTTAATTTGGGGCATGCTGCAACAAAATTCCAACAAAGTGAACACTTTATCATACAGGATTGCAAGGTTCAAATTTATCACAATTAATGTTTCAATAGTAATTGTATATTAATATTTAGAGATGCTGAGTAAAGAGTTCAAAACTTGTTTCAGTTTAAATAAGTAATCTTTTTTAACTAATAAAGACATTACTGACTAATGAATGCTATACTATTATTTTAGCTTATTGTATATTATGGGCTTTAATTATAAGAAGCTAAATCTGATAGGTAATAGCATTGAAAATACATATTAACAAATCAATGAACAAATGGAAAATTTAAAACCCTTTAATTGTTAAATTGTATTTGCCAATTGATCAATTAATCATCATCTTAAGTAAAAGCCACTTAATTAAACTCTGATAACCATCTTTATAATGTCAAGTTACTGAATTATTGGAAAAGTATTCATTTACAAGTGCAACGATCATTGAGTAACCTTTTCAGACTATGGCTGTTCCTGTAATATTATGGAAATTGGAAAACAATTATAGCAAACAGCTATATTTATTAGCACATACAAACTGAATTTCTAAAATCTAATTAAGAGTAAGTGATGATAAAAATTAGACAATGATAAGAAATTCTATAATAAAATTCACTCAATCACAATGCCTTCTTTACCATCTCTAAGCATTTGATTTAGTAACATTTGTGCACAGTCAAGAAATCTCATAATCACATGGTATATCAATTTCAGTTTGTGAATTTGATTCTTCTATTATATTTAATTAAAATAATTTTATAGTTTGCATTTTATTATTTTTATTTGAATTTAACATTAGCATTAAAAGAATTAACATAACATTATGTATCTCATGAAAAAAATTAATAATATCTTTGTTTGTGTTTTGGAGATGGATTAATAACATCACGATCTTCCACAGGTGTAAGTAAAAGAAACCTTGTTGGATCAATGGGTTTACTTATTGATTGATTTAATTCTTTTATGGCAGGTTGTATACTAGAGATGACTCTTTCAAAAATTACCATACCAATTAAAAAAATCTCTTCTTTTTCTGAAGTATACTTTGTAAGTGGCAATGGAAGTGAAAATAAATCAATAAAAACTCCAGAGTTATTTTTAGATTTATCGTAGTAGTATAAATCCAAATTAGTTCCTATTTGTGACAGTGTATTCATGGATTGCAAAAATTAAAAAAATTGAACAAATATATGAAATATCATTTATATAAAATAGCAAAGTTAACATACTATGAGTTAGCATGCAGATTAGTGGTAGTTTTTTAACCTTCTTCAATATATCTTCATTAATTATATCGCCATGCATTAGTTTGATTTTATCTAAGGTACCTCTGATATTTCGGGAACAATACCTAATCAATTTTCTTTCTATTATACTCTGTTTGCAACTTGCTTGGTTGGAAAGGAGTACCTGCTGCTTCACCATATAACAAACAATTCAAGAGAATCTTTTCCAATCTGGAATTCTTGAGGAGTTGTTGTAATTTTTTTCATTTTTTCTGAGGAAATTCCCATTATCATTGATCATAATCCATGTCATTGTTAAAATTTCCTTCTTCTGCAACATTACCATTCCTATTATTGAAAATTAATATCAATAAAAATAATGACCTTTTAAATATTAATACAACACATATGTAAATTACCAAAATATTCTAGAGGCTTTTCCATAATTTTATATATCATGGATGTACAAATTCATACATAAAGGTGTCCTTATTGATGTCTTCATTTCCAAATTATTTATTCTCAAATATCCAGCTAGTAGAGATTCCAACTTTCAATTCCGTACACTATTTTTTTTTTGTTCCGTACACTTTTTTTTTAATATTAATATTAAATTTTTGTACGGAATTTGTGAATTCTGAAAAGTTGATTGGTGGGGGCCAGTCTGTACGATCTTGATTCCATATTTTGTTTCATACAGAGCATGATTTACTACAGAAGCGCAAATGTACGGAATACGGAACCTGTATAGACTCTCAAATATCTCATCAAACCACAATTGATTACTGTATGTTTTAATAATAATTGTTATTAAAGTCTATTAAGAGATTAGGGGGTAATCAGAGTTGTTTCTGATTTACATTGTCTAAATAAGGTCTTGTAAAATAAGCAACAACCTTTGGTGTCCCTTATAGGAGTGATTGAAGTAAGCATTATTGACAAGATCTATGAACAAAACATACTAACAAATGTTTTATCAATTATTCAATAGTTTGTGTAGGAGTGATTGAAGTAAGAATTAAGGACAAGGTCTAAATTGTTGCAATTATTTTTTTTTTTACAACAAAATGTTTTAATTAATTACAACAAAATGTGGTACACTTTTGTTTAGCATGGTGTTCCATAGATAAGTTTTGAAGCTTGAGTCATGGACAATAAAACTTATTGGTTAACTTTTCGAAACTGAACGATTCAATTAATTGATTATATATGGAGATTATCTGCTGAATATGGAACAGTATGTATCATCAGTAACATGGACTATGTGGGTTAATATCATATATAAAATTTACTAATAACCTTTTTTCAGTAAATGTAAAAAAAAAAAATTGTATCTCCTCTTTCAAAAAAAAAAAGATACAACTATGAAATTAAGAGGGATTGTAAATAAATGTGATGGTAAACATGCTGACGGAGGGTTTTTTTAGTAAAATCATCTAAAAATGTTGAAAATACAGTTGAACTTTGAAGCATATAGGCTTGATAACTAATTAAATAGAACAAAAATCTTTCCGCCATTTTATTCTTTGTGACTTAAGTAATAAGCTGGAAGAGAGTTTTTTTAATTTTATTAGTAAAAAAAGGATTTATAAGGATTTAAAGTTGTGCGGATTTTTATTATTAAAATTTTTTTCGTTTTTTCTTTGAAAATCTTTTCTTTTTAAAGAAACCGTTATTAAAGAAGAATCGTAAGAAACAGAAAATCTCCAAATTTTAATATTAACATTAAATAAAGAAATACAGTCGAGCTAGTTAAATTCATAGGTTCAGCACAGTAAATTTTATGAATTTATCGAATTATTCCAATTATCGGAATTTTATTATTACTATAAATATGAAATTATCGAATAAATTTTTAATATAAGTGGCACTAGTTCCTGAAAAGTTATGAATTTAAGGAATTATGAATTTATCGCATATGAATTTAACGAGCTTTGACTGTATTTAGAATAACAAGTTTTTAAATAAATTTTATTTATATAATTAATTTATTTCATTTATTTTATTAATAAAAATTCACAAGAATGGAACACCACAATACGTCACGTTATCTATTTTATATTTCATCTGATTGTACTATCACGTGATTTTTTAAATTGCACTTGCCCAATTGAAATTGGAGTCATGGCGTAGGACGTATTTGTTCTCGTAAAATTTAGCATTAATATTAAAATGATGTTTGCTGGTTTATACTTTTGAAATATATACAATCAAGAAACCGTGCAGATCGTCTCAAATTTTGTTATTGTGCACACAGAGCGCGAAACGTGTGATCAAAAATATCAGGAGAATAGTAATAAGTGGTAGTAGGGTTTTCTATTCGAATAAGATTTATCCGAATTACATTGAAAGTTATGATTCGAATAAAATAATATATTCACATTGCTAATCCAATCTAGTTAAAATACTTTTTCTTGATCAATCTATTTCCTTTGTAGTCCTTGTATATAGTGATAATAATAATAAATAGTGATAGCAGAAGTAATTGACTATTTTATTTTCTTTTTAAGTCATTGTACTAGTAGCCATAGTAGTAGTAATATAGATAATATAATTATTGTAATTTATATTATCTTGTTAAATGAAGTAAGACCTTATTCATAATTTTACAATCCCTTAACAATAACAATAACAATAACAATATAGAATTTGTTGCATCAATTTGAGAATTAATGTTTTATATTTTGTAAAACGAATAAAGCGAATAATAATTCGAATAAAAAGATATAATTTGAATAAAATAAATAAAATAAATAAAATGAAATAATAATAATAAATCTAAAAATTTATACACGTGTAACCGGAAAATGACTGATTCCCCAAAATTTTTATCAGACATTCTAAAATTTTATCTGAATGCTCGGAATTTTACAATAGTATATTAATATAATATATAGGATTTCGCGTCCTGAGTGCAATCATCTAGGAAAAAAAAATTAAAATGTATCATTTTCTAAAAAGGAAATTATCGACAGTGATAATAAAATAAAAAAACAAGTTTTATTTATCATTCAACTCTCCTTATTACTGTATTATATAGTATTATTGTCATTCAAATTTAAGGGTACATGCTTATTCATATTCTACAGTATCAATTTATGTCTTTTCCTACCAAACAAACCATTAAAAGTTCTCTTGTTTTTACAAGTTGTTTTATTTTTAGAAACACGACCCATTATAAAGATATGATAAGGTTGGATTAATTTAATTAATTTAATTAATTATATTTACAATTTTAAGGGGTTTAATCCTAAAATCGTGTTTCCAAAAAATATTAATACGTGATTTCCCCGACAAAGAATAATAATCCGAAATGTCACAATAACTCCACAAAATTTTATGATAATAAAAAAAAGTAAACCGATAGAAATTAAGTCAAGTCTTTAGCCTTAATTATATTAGTTAACTTTTTCATTATCATAAAATTTTGTGGAGTTACTGGCTTTCAAATATCGTCTTTAGATGACGTATCCATTTCCCCGGCTTTTTCTTAATTAGGTAATTTGATAAAATGAATAACCTCAATGGTCATTCATTGCATTTATTATTGAAATGAGTTACAATTTTCAACCTTGACCAACGTCGTGACCCGAAACTAATTTAGGGTGTTTTATTGGAGTTTAAAGAGTTTTGAGTCACAGCGTTGATTTGACTTCGATTTTGATTTAGAGTTTCAATTTCGATTTCGAAGTTCCAATCGAATTTTACCATCATGTATGCCAATTAGAACCATTTTTACAATCAAATGAGTTATTTGTTTGAGTTATTTGTTTGAGTTATTTTTTTGAGTTTTTTAGTACTCACACGTCTTATTAATTAATAACCTGTATTCAAATTAAAGGTACAAACAAAATAAATTTTATAATCACATCATGTATTGCGTCGTTTTGAGTCTTTTGGAAAAATATCAGTGTTTAAAGAATGCTGTGTTATTATTATATATAAATTGATTGATTACGCATGTTTAAAATGAGTGAGTATATAAAAATATATATTTTTTTTTGTGATTTATATAATTTTGTATGTAAAAAAAAAAAAAATAACAATAATTTAAAAAAAATTTGTGTATATATATATATATATGTATTAAGTCGGTGAGTGATAAAAAAATATTTAAAATCCACACCTCCATAATATATATAAATTAATAATTTGAAATCAGAATAAAAAAAGCCAAAAAAAAAATTTTTTTAAATGATAGTGATAAATGTTAATGAATATATATATATATATATATATATGCTTCAAAATAAAAATCAAAAATTATTATATATATATAATAATATATATAAAATTAAAGATCTTTCTCCTCTTTGTTCTAATTTATATTATAATATTTAAGAAAGTTTTACATATCATCAGGTAGAATATCATCAGGCCCACGGTATATTGCCATTATATTGGCTGCAATCAAGATTAGAATAAATTTAATCCATCTCCAGATTAATCTAAAGAATAGATAGACATTCCTTGCCCACCTTCTCCAAAACCATTCTCTTATTCTTATTGCTTTCTCATTGTCTGTATCGAATTCTTCAATGAAGCTAAACTCTGATAAATAATCAATATTTGATACATCATCATCATCTACATGTGATCCATTATTTAAGAAATAGTCTGACAGGGCTCTTTCTGATAAAACTGGCGAAAACGGCGGTGATCCATCGTCATTTCCTCCCGATTTCTTAATATCACGTTGAAACAATGTTAATTCTCTAAACCATTCATTTTCCAATTCTGAAAGTAAAGTCCGTTTGATTTTGCCTCCTAGTCCACCCAATCCGCCTCCTCCGTTACCACTTGATGAAGGTGTTGGTCCTGTTGGTGTTTGTGGCACTGTTCCAAACAACGATCTCATTCTATCTGGATCACTCAATCTCCTTAATGCATTTTCTGAAAATGAATTTGATCTCGAATTGGATCTTGAATACAGTATTCCTGACCTCAAGCTAACAACCTTTGATTGTTCTTCTTCTAAACGATCTCTCAGTTGAATGATAAGTTCTGATTGTTCTTGATTTTCTAATTGTAATATTTCGTAGTTTTTAGATTGATCGACCAGTTCATTAAATTCTTCTTGTAACATGTCCAGTTCTCCTATGACTCTAGACAATTTTTTTTCAGTTTCAGCTTTCGCCTTTTCAATATTATGATTCTGTTCTTCCAATTCAGCCACTTTATTCACTAGAATTTCAATAAATTCGTCATTTTTAGATGATTTTTTATCGTATTTTGTTTTCCAAAAATCCGATGTTTGTTTTTGAATCAGGCGTTTAGTTTCATTATCAAGATCTTCAATTTTTTGCGTTGCTAGAGAATACTCATCCCGATAATGTTTTAAATCAGCTTCTAGTTTACGTATTTTTGCTTTATTGGATTTATCGGATTCATCGAATTCTTTTACTACTTCATCGAGTCTCGTTTGAAGATCTTGATTTCTCGATTCCAATTCATTAATACTTTCAATATCCTTAAATGTTAAACCAGATTGTTGCTGGTCTTTTTTCTTTTTTTTATTTATAGTATTACTATAATATCTTCTAACCAAATTGTTAGAAGCTGTTGATGAATGCATATCAGTAGAACTGGCGTACCCATTATTAATTGAATCTGTGTCACTTTCCTCAAAGTCACTGGTATCTCCCATAAAAGGATCCAGCGAACTGTTTGGTCGAGCTATGGGCACAGCTGATGGTTTTTTAATGGCATTAGCTTGTAATGCGATAGCGGCCGCCTTTTGTTGTTGTCTTTGTAGGTTTTGGTATTGACCTAAAAGTACTTCATATTTTGCTTTTAAAGCAATGTTGTTTTCTAAAAGACTTTTCCCAATTTCTGCTGCTAACGTAAGATCTTTTTTAAAAAAAATAATGCAAGACAATAATAAGCTCATTGACTAACTGATTGATTAACTAATTGATTGACTTGTGATAAGATTACATTACGTGGTAGTAATGATAATCATATCATCGAAACAACCATAATAAATAAAATGTTTAATTACCTCTTTCCTTTTCTTTTATAAAGTTATAGGCCTCTTTAACTAATGCGGTAAGTTCGGCCTGAGATTTATTTACATACCATGAGCCAGAAAGAGTTGGAGAAGGTATAGGATTAAAGGGAGAAGAGGGAGAAATTGGAGAGTTAAAATCCGAATAACTTGAAGGTGGTATATCCAACGATAATTTTGATTTAAGACGAGGTGTTTGTGGTGCTGACATTATCATCATTGCAAATTTATTTTAAGAAAATCGTAAACAAAAAAATTTATTTAATCCGAAAAATAAATGAAAAAAAAGGTAAAGATTGTTGTTATATTTATATGATAATAACAATAATAATATATTATGATGTTTATATATTATTTATTATTTATTATTATTATTTGTTTTTTAAAAAAAAAGATTATTTAAAATAATAAATAAACTAAAACAAATAAATTTTCTCTCTACTGCCAACTACCAAATAACCGAAATCTTTCTCGTTTATATTGCTTTTGTTGTTATTGATTATTATTATTATTATTATATATTTATTAACACGGAGAAAAAAGCATTCGTCAGGTAGAAGGAGAAGAAAAAAAGTAATATGATATATGATATATGATAGATGATGTATGATATGTATGATATGTGGTGATGGTAACGATACGGCGAAAGATTATTATTATTATTACTATTATTTATTTATTTAATAACAATAATAATAATAATAAATTTTTTTTTTTCCTCAAAAAAAAAAAGGTTCAAGAGATAGAAAGGAAAGTGTGATTGATAAAATAAACAAATAAATAGATACAATATTTATTAATACATATTATAATCTTTTTTTTTTTTTTTAATTAATGTTAATTAAAAAACTTTAAAAAAAAAATTTTTTTGTGTTAAACTTGTTAAAATGATGGAATGATGAAATGAATGATTTGAGTTTTTCCTTTTTTAAAATTAAATTTTTTTTAATTCAATTCAAAAAAAATTTTAATATATGCATAAATAAAAAAAATTGGGAAATTATATCACATAAATTTCCAGGGTTAAAAGTTTGACTTCATACAATATGTCATCAATCAAATGGGCAAGGAGATTTCTAGTAAGCTAAATGGATCAAAATCTGCTTGCGGGTTATTTATTAATAATAATAATAATAACAAGAGATTTTTAGATTGTCTCTGGAGATCAGCGTTCTCAAGAAAAAACGTGGTACCGCAAATCAATGTATGTATGAGGACACGCTAGCCATCATTTGTACACTTTTTTTTCTATAAATTCCAATCCCTAAATTTTATGTGATATGGACATACAAGTTGCTTTTCTAATATTAAAATTTCAAAATCCAATAAATAAATTCTTTTGAAATTTCAAAGTTAGAATACAGTTCGTTACTAAAACTCTCATATAACGATAAAGTTTGTTCAGGGATGTACCAAGCGTAGAAATTATGGTGGCTGCGATTAAAACAAATTAACTAATTATCTATATATGTGCATAACAAGAAGTAATTATTAGAAGGAATGTTTAAAAACGCGAATTAGGTGGTGGAGACTCTATGCACATTCACAAATAATATATTTTGGCACTAATCAAATTTTAATTGAAATTATTCCGATATCATTTAATCTAAAAAATCACACGTGGTTTTCTTGTGAAATTTAACTAGATAGGTAATGTCACGATCGTACTACTGGTATGATGTGATACTGCAGAATTCAAAGGTCGCGCCTTCTACATAAAATAATCTTTCGTAGGGCATTATTAGTACTTGTAAATTGAAGAAAGAGGTGATGTTATCATTATTAAATAATGGATAGATTTAAGGGACAAAATTACCATCATATTAATAGATTTAATTACCCCAGTTTGGTTTGAGCAAAATTCTTATAATTAATTTAGACTTCAGTACCCAAAGTTCTTCATTGTGGAAAAACCTACTCACTAGCTTTAGATGTAAAGGAACAATCCTGATTTAGTAATATTGCAGATTTGGACCTGTGTAGGAACAGGAAATTATATTGCCACCAGATCCATTCCATGTAAAAAGATACCAGATCAAGTACTTCATCTTGTTTATATCATTTAACATTATTATGTTGGTTTATTCTTTGAACGTTGTTGATAAGTGTCATCTAAGCCTTTCTCTGGCAATTATCTTGTATGAACCTAATTGTAAATCATACCTTTTCAACAATTGCTATATGTATTATTATATAATGATGATGTTGATTTTGTCATGCTTCTTCTGCGCATTTTTCTTGTCTAGAAGACAAGTAGAATAAAGAAAGGTTTATTAGTATGTAAAATGATTTGAAAATTTGGATTTGATTATATTGTAAATTTAATTAAAAAAAAAAAAATCCTAATCAGAGGATTCAATTGTCCAACTAGTTGTCTCAGAATTGCAAACGCATCTTCAACTTATCTACAAGAAACAGGACGCGGCGGATTAAGAAAATAAAAGTTTACGCAAATGAAAAATATATTATCTAGCCCATGCTTTTGGATTAATTACACATTTAATTGGAGACTTTAAAGTTAAATTTGAATCCTTAAAGTTTTTATGTACAAAATGTAAATATTTATACATGAAATAAATAAATAAATATAATATGTAAATTTTCAAGGAATTTTAATTGAAGGTCACGTTACACACCACAAACCTTGTTCTCACATACTAATACATAACTGGATTAAGACGAGATTATTGAGAGAAGGGGAAAGTAATAGATAGCGGATAAATTCTAATACGCAGATAATTTTATAACTTGTTTGCCATTACGCCATCATCGATCGAAAAATTTGATGATTTTTATTAAATAACCAAGGTAATATTCAAGTACTAAGTAACATTTTTCTATTTTTTTCAACATTTTTTTGAAATCATCTTGTTCCATTCTGTAATACTATTTTCAATTATTATGTATAATAATATTTAGACCGAAATGCGAAAATCATTATTATTATTTATATTTATATTTCATTTTCAGAATGAGTAATAGATTTGTGAAAAAGAATTTGTGATACGATATCCAAACAATATTAATATATATATATATGTATGCGTTTATCTGGCAAAAATTTTTGAAAGTAAAGAAATGTCTACATTTTCTAATATAGATTATAATAGTGCAGCATATAATGCATATCGTCCAACGTAGGTTCAATGTTCCTATATATATATAGGCTTATATATCTATATACTGTTCAATATATTTTTTTAAATTCTTTCTTCCCTCATTTCTCCCCTCTTCAAATACATTTTCAAGATATCCACAAAAATTATTCGAAAAAATTTACAATTATCATAAATCACATAATGGATCATTTGATGCAGCATTAGACGTGGCAACTGGAACAGGTCAAGTGACTCAAGTATTAGCCGATTCATTTAAAAAAGTTTATGGTGTAGATTCATCAGCGACAATGTTAGAAAATGCAGTTAAAAAATCAAATATTACATATTCGATCTCGACTGCTGAAAATCTCAATCAATTTGATGATTCTTCAATTGATTTATTAACTGTCGCTGAGGCTGCTCATTGGTTTGATTTACCTAAATTTTTAGAGGAATCTTATCGTGTTCTTAAATCACCATCGTCATCATCCGGGGGTGGTGGTACACTTGCAATTTGGGGTTATAGTTATAATCTTTTTGATAATTATCCAACTGCTTCGGAATTGTTGATTGATCATTATATAGATTTGATGGGTGATTATAAGGAGAAAGAAGGTAGATTGATACTTGAGAATCTATATAGAGGATTTGAGATTCCTGAACGTTTATTTAAAAATGTTAAATTCGAAATTTACGATGGAACTAAAGAGAGTGAGCAATATCGTTTGATGGAGGCTGATTGGACAGTTTCTCAATTTGAAAAATATTTAAAAGTAATTATTATTTGATTCCTTTGATTTGTAATTATATAAATATAGCTGATTATTATTATTACTTCCGGTTGTTAGACATCAAGCTGTTATAAGACGTTTTTATCAAAAAACCCAAATGCTGAGGATCCAGTTAATAAATTTATGGCAAGGATAAAAAAAGTAGAAGGTTGGGAAGACAATCAATTATTAAAAGTTTATTGGCGTACGGCTTTTATCCTGGCTGAAAAGAATTAGAAAATGAGTTTTTTACTAATCGATATTCGGTCAACTTCACATGTGATAAAAACATATGTAAATAAATAAAATAATATAATATATATTTATTGTCCATTGTGACATTATTAGAAAAAGTGAACATAGTGTAAACAATTTTTTGTTTTTTATTTTGTTTTGATTGATGTAAATGTAACAAAACCCGGACAAAACATTATTATTATGTCACAAAGAAATTTCAGGGTAGTAAACTGGAAACCCTCAATAATATGATTGTGGCCTTGAATTTAACAGTTTCGCAACACCTTCTTGTTTCAAACTTTTATAAAATAACCTACTAGATAATTGGAGTAATCGATCCAAAGTTATAAAATTCAATAAAGGGTCTAATTTTTTCTCTTTGGGTTTTTGTTTGCTGATAAGGTTTTTCTATTTTGGTTTTAGATGGTAAATCATTTTCAAAAATGGTAATAGTAAATGATTTTATCGATGTTTTTTTTCTCTCTTCATCTTTGTAATTATTAATAAGTACTAATCAGCTATTTTTTTGGTAGGCAAAACATATTTCTCATAAAGCTTCTAATGGTTTTACTATATAGTGCTCTGACATACCAATCAACCAATTAAATTTCATGTTTTCATTGTTCTAAATGGAATTTCGACATAATATTAATATTAATATCAATATCATTTATTGTTAGTTCGGTTTTCCCATTTTTCTTTCAATTCATTGTTCAAATGCTTTTTGATTACCATATTGCAGTTTTCTTTAGATATCTCAAAATTTTATTAAGTAATGTGGGTGTTGTTCCTAAGCTAAAATTGTTCCTTGCGACGAGTTACATATATATGTGGCATCAACTCAAAATCATGATTTTTGACATTTACCCCCTTTCTATTGTCCATGCCCATTTACATTAGTGGGAACAGGATGCATATGCATGTTTACATTATGCAAATATTTCATAAGTCCTGATATGGGACTGAGCTACCTTTGTGTAAATGAACAGATTATGCAAATATACTGTATGCAAATAGACAAGTGCAACTGTATAAATAATTGAGTCAGATGCAATTAAAAATTGAGATTTTAGGAATTGAGTCAAAGCCAAATTAATTTTGATAAAACAGACCTTTAATTCTCAGGTTAAACTTAATCAAAGGAATTTAAATGATTTAATCACT